ACCCGGCGTTGGCACTGCATCCCTTGGCAGAGCCAGCCAGCGCAGGGGGTGTGGAGCACCCAGGACCTTTTGTTATCAGCTGTAATTTCACTGAGATACTGATATGGGGGCACGGGAACGGGAGCAGGACTCGTTCCGGGCAACGCAGCCAGGAAAGGGGGGGGCTCAGCACTCCGGGTCCCCAGGAGGGGGCATGGGGCGGACACCCAGGGCCATCGCAGGGACTCAGAGCTGGCTGGAGCCACAGGCAGGTGATGCATTGGTGCTTGCCAGAGCTCCTGGGGGGCTGGGGTACAGGGCACCCCTGTGGTGTCCCCCCCCCACACGCACACACTTTCCTGCTACTGGGGAGCCCATCTGGACTGGGGGGAGCCACAGGCAGAAACCTTGCTGGCACCAAGGCTGCCATCCCTAGGGTGTCCCCGAGGCGACCAGCTGGAGCCACAGGCAGGTGATGCATTGGTGCTTGCCAGAGCTCCTGGGGGGCTGGGGTACAGGGCACCCCTGTGGTGTCCCCCCCCCACACGCACACACTTTCCTGCTACTGGGGAGCCCATCTGGACTGGGGGGAGCCACAGGCAGAAACCTTGCTGGCACCAAGGCTGCCATCCCTAGGGTGTCCCCGAGGCGACCAGCTAACAGCTCCGTTGTGGCAGTGATCAAGGCTACAAGACCTGCAGTGAGCCCATGTCCCTGTCCCCCTGGCTCTACCCGCATGGGCAGAGGTGCCACCCTCTGCCCACATCACCCCCACTGCAATGGCTCCCAGTGGGCATCCCAGGCTGGGTCCCCCCAGCCCTGCCGAGCAGCCAGCACCCCCTCCCCAGGCCGGCTCTCTCTGGAAAAGCCGTGCCCGTCTGCACCCCAGAAAGACAAGGCAGCGGTGCCTGGAGCAGGCTGCTTTATTACAAGGCTGAACAGACCAGCAAATAAATACCCCCTGCCCACCCCAAAACATGTCAGGGTCCCCATGCAAGTGCCTATCCTGGCACCAGCTCTGGTGTGGGCTGTGCCTCTGCCAGGGTGCTCCAGCCCTGCGTGACCCTACAATAAACAAGCCTGTGTGTGCAGCTGAGCCTACGCTACCAGGCACCAAGCACAGCCGGCAGGACTCTGCTCACCGGGGAGGAGTCACGACCAAAGCGCTTGAATCTGGCAGCAGGATGGGAACGGGGTGGCTAAGTCCCCTGGGGCCATGGGGGTCCTTGCACCCAGCTGTGGGCATGGCACAGCTCCTCCAGCATGGTGTCCATCGAGCATTGCCATGTGCTCGCTGGCAGGAGGCACCCCTGGGTCCTGTTTTTCCCACTCCTTGCCTCCCAAAGGCCGGCAGGATCTGCCCCGGACTCAAGACGAGCCCCAGGACCAGGGCAGGTAGATAGGCCCTCCCTGTGGAGAGCCTCTGGGGCCCGAGCCTCCTTCCATGGCCCCAGGGCCATGCAAGAGGCTCCCAAGTCAGATGAGACAACAGCACTTCCCTGGTGTCTTCAGAGCAAGGATCGGTCAATGCCTGCAGGGCGAGAGAGCGCGCGAGGCCGTAACCCCCCCGGTGTGCACCAGCACTGGGCTGGGCACCCTGCGGCACAGCCCTCCGACCTGCCCTGGCAGCCATGGGGACAGCACAGGGGACAGCGGGGTCTTGCCTCCATCCCTGGCTTGGATGCAAGCCCTGGAATAGGAGGGGATGCTGGCCCGGAGGAGGACATCCCAGTGGCCACCCCAGTACAGCCACCCTTGCGGGTAGCAGGGTTGGGGTGAGTGAAGGCACCGTGATGGGGAAATGGGGGGTGTCCCTGTGTCTGATGTGGTTAACACACATCACCCCTCAGTCGTGGTGTTGATGGGCATTGTGGGGGGAATAGGTGGGCACGAGGGTGGGCACCGGGCAGAGGGGGCAGTGGGCTCTGCCAGCCATGGCCCGTGGTCAGCTGCACTGTGCACATGGCTGATGGTGGGTGGCACATCTGGGGTGTGCAAGAGTGTGTGTGTGGGGGTCTGTCCCCTGTCTTCCCCCTAGTAATGGCACTGGAGGGGCTCAGGTCTAAGGGGGGCTTTCAGGCAAAAAAGGGTTTTTATCTTGGGGTGCATTGCACCCCAAAACCATCATCCAGCCCAAAGCCCAGGGATCTGCAAAAACTGCATCCCATATGCTGCCTGGACAGGGGGTCTGGGGGTGTCTCTGTGCCAGGTATCCCCATCCTTCCTCACGGACGCCAGGGACCGGGACCCCAGAAGGGATCCCCTGTGATCCTTGTGTCCCCCAGGGACAAGCAGCACATGGGTCCTGCCATCCCCAGCTGGGCACCCAGCAGCGCTGGACCCCAGCCCCAGCCTCCTTCATCCCCTGGGGCCGGTT